CTTGCAAAGTTGAAAATTTTTGTCAAAAATCTCAGAAATGTTCTTTAAAAAATTCCTCAAATGTAATTTTTCTCTTGGAAATTTTTGATTTTTCAAACTCAGAAATGCCCATGTTTTTTCTCAGAAATTTCTTAAATCAATCTCAGAATTTTTGAGGTTTTTTTTTCTCTGAAACGTACTCCTTTATTCCTATCTACAAATCAAACAAATCAGCATCGTTTTATGTTCAGAGATGCAGTTGCTGCGTTTTGCCACTAGATGGCAGCAGAGGCTCATATCTTTCCTACCGTTGAAAGTTTTTCAATCTCCTCATCTGAAGCTCCAAGCGAGGCGAGTCCAATCTCCTGGAAACAAACAAAAATGTGTAAAAAAAAATAAAAAACTGTTAGAGGTGATTTAAGCAAAAACAGACAGCTGGACTGATATGGGAATATTTACCTGGGAAAACTGTGCGAATTCCCGATCTCCCAGCATGGGGATGTGTCCGAGCAGCTCGTGGCAGCAGTCCCTGTCAGGGCAGATTGATCCAAGTTAGTGAGCTGAACAGATGCTTTCATGAGCCTGATGCTGGAAAACGAACTCACGGTTCAGGGGAGTGCATGGGGGAAGACGGGTGTCGGATATACTGGGTGCACTGGAAGACCCTGAAGGCCAAACTGGCCAGAAAGTCTCTGGCTGAGAGCAAGCCGGCGACCGGACGCAGCTGGAAACCAGTTTTCTCTAAACACACAGAGGGAAAGTAGACAAAAGTCACACATTTTTAAAAGCTGATGATGTTTTCTGTATTTAGGAGCTTGGGACTGGTGTATTTTCTTTTTTCTGACCTTTCAGGAAGGCGGACACGTCTCGGAGCTGAGGGATGCAATCCCCTCCGTATCCGCACTCGTCCTCCAGCTGCTGCAGGCTGTCCAGGAACTGCCTGCAGGCCAGGCTGGGATAAACACTCCTCAGCTGCTGGTAAACCTTTCTCCTGTAAGCAGCAGATGGAACGTCACCTCTTCTGTCACATTTCAGATCGTTTATCGCACAGCGTTTGTAGCTCACCATGTGGATATTTCTTCTGCTGTGTACTCCACCGTGGGCAGCGGGTCGCCTCTGCAGCAGAGACACAGTTTTAGGAGAGGAGAGAACTTTTTTAATTTATCACCAATATCGGACTTTAAGAGATTTTTACTCACTGTTTGTATCTAAATGCGAGTTCAGAGATGGCCGCTCGTCTTTTTCTGTACTCTGAGTCATTATATCCCTGCAGAAAAGAAGGAATTTAGATAAATTTACCTCTAGATTTAATCTTTGTGCAAAAACTTCTGTACAAAATGTTTTATATGTATTTGATGGACCTTCACATTGTTCACCAACACCAGTTTATTAAGGACCAATTGGAAGAAAACTAAGGCCACATTCACACTGCAGCCTGTAGTGACCCAATTCCGATTTTTTGTCAAATCATCTTTTTAGGCATTTCCAAATATATGCGACTTGTATGACGACCTGAAAGTGTCCCGCATGAGCAGTAGAGGGCGCAATAACCTTACACATAGAAATCGTGCTCAGAGTTTTGCCAACCGCCACAAAGAAGAAGCGCTCAGTGTTTGCCGGAGAAGTAAACATGGCTCCAAATGGTGGAGCATATCTTATCATTTTGAAGTTGTTGTCCGACCAGAACCAGCACATTAACAACTTAATCCTCATTCTGGTCCGTCATGGTTGTTGTTTTTCTTCCCGCTTGCGAGTATCGTGACGTTAGGATCGGATGAACGCGAACTGGCCGATCAGATTCTGATCAGATATTTATCGGATATCAAATTGCCTGGATCGCATTCGACAAAAAAAAAAAAAAGAAAATCTGACTTGGTTCGTTCGGACTTTCATGAAATGATCAATCGGAATTGGGTCACGTCTTGCATTGTGAACGCAACCTAAGAGTTGTTTACATAAACACTCACAGGATGGTCGCAGTGTAAGTCTGGATCAAATTTCGTTATCAGCAGGTTGCACCTGTCCAGGTCTTTAATCTGTCGAGGAAACCAGGGAGCTGCAAAGACCGGAAACACAAATCGGTTCATAAAGAGTCTAAATGTTAAATCCGGCCTGTGGGGTCCTACCTTTCTCCTCGGGCACGGTGCGAACATCGTCGGCGACCCGTTTCAGCGAGTTGATGAACACGTCCAAGTCCGAGCGGTGGACCTCACAGCTCATGAAGAACTCCAGGTCAGGAAGTCCGCCGAACTTGGACTTCCTCCTGGGCCGGCTCTCCACATGGAGAAGTTTGGCTTCAAATGTCTAAATGATCAGAAATGTACACACAATGTTCGCTTGCCATTCAACACTTTGGGATTTGTACAGCTAAAGCAGGAAATTGGATATTTTTAAAATATTTTTCTAAGTTCAAGGGCTTGATTCTGGCTATTTTATTGCAGAATTGTATCTGCAGCCTTCCTAAATTTGTCAGATGATTTTAACTTTCCACATTGGATTTTTTGACCTATTTAATATCTTTAGGATCTTTTTTCATACAAATCTTCATAACGGGACTCTGAATTAATTGATGTTGGTGACAATTCCGTCAGTATAAACAAATAATAAATTTAGAAAGCAAACTCTTCAGATATTCTACTTTCTATTTTTTTTAGAAGTTATTTTCATTTTGAATTTGCATAACTTTTTGCAGTTATAGAAAATATAAAGCAGTCCTTCTTAAGCTAAAATTAAATTTACAAATTACACAAAATGACTTTATTTCATGGTTTAAAAGTTGAATTAAATTGAACTTAAATCACAGAAATGGACACATTAGCATTGATTACTAAAGTTTTGCTTGAAAATCACATTAAACGACTGTACATTTTTTTAAAGTTAATTATTTTTGAGTTCTTCCTGGCAGTATTTTACTGTTTTTCCTTTTTTTTTTAATTTAGTTAAATTTTATTTTTTAGCATTTTATTTGTAAAATTTAACAGAAATTATTTGAGATTATATCAAGACTCTTTCTAGGGTTTGTTTTAACTTAAAAGCCTCTAAATACAGCAATGAATTTGTTATTAATAGCAATTTTGGTGGCAATACAAATAATCAAGTACATTGATTAAGTGAGAATAAAATTAATAAATGCATCATAAATAAATTAGAATCAAGTTTCAAATGTTTTATGTGGATGAAACGATCAATTAGTGAATATTTTAGATAAGTGCGAAATAATAATATTAATTACATTTAACTTTTCTGTCAAACCCTTTTAGTTTTGATGCAGCCTCATTATAAAATAAAATATTTGTTTTCAGGTATTAATGAACTTGAACTGGATTGGATTTAACTTAAATTTGCTCTCATAAATGAACCATTTATACTAATAACATGATAAAAATAAATGTCAATTTATTTATAAACACTTTAAAAGCAGATATTAACTGCACCAAAGTGCAAACCACAGATAAAAACACAAATAATAATAATATTATGATACAAAAATAATGTAATAATTCAGTAATAAATAAAGCAATGTAATTAATAATTCAGTAAAATAAATATTTATTTAGAAATTTTCTTTACTTTAAGCTGGATTTTCACCTTACAAAAAGGTTTTAAGAACCCAAATGTATACCAGGAAGTCATAAAGTAACATAGAACTTAATTAAATATTATTTTACCTCAAATATTTTCCCAGTTTGAAAGAATCCGGAATTTTTCTCGTTGCTGAGCGCGAACAGGACGCTCACGGTGACCGTGCCGTCCTTCTCCTCGAACACGGCCCCGTTCCCGGACCGTGAGGGCCCCGCTGAGGGCCCCGCGGAGCCGCTGCCGATGCGCTCCCGGCGCGCATCCTCGATCAGGCTCTGCTTCCTGCCGCCGAGCGCCTGCGTCGCGCCGTCGGTCTTCATGTGTCCGCGCTGTGCTGCAGCTTCGTCGGTCACCGGAGCGAGCGGGCGGTGCGCCTTCATTCCCGCTGCTGCTGCGGGTCGGGGTTAAATAAGCGCTCCGAGTGGATTGATGGAGGTAAATTGCGCAGGCGCAACACGTGAGTCCGGCTTTTTGGGGAGCCGTGCGTCATTTTTCTATTTATGGGTTTTGCTTGGAGAGGAAAAAACAGTTCAGGTGAATTTAACAGATGTTTTCAAGCAGAAACATCAGGGTTACATAAATGTTACACACGGTGATAAAATAAATTCTGTCTCATTAAGTGTAGATGCTCATATATTTACATTTTTCACCTGCACTTATTCAGAGGTCTAAGTTCAGGTGAAAAATGTAAACGATTATTTGAATAAACTTTATTCTCCATCAGTCAAAGTGTCCAAACTTTAGATTTGTTTAAAAATGTTCTGGAAATTAAACTTAAATAAATTTAGATTCTTTAAAGTGTTTTATTTGTTTTCATCTAACTGGAAGTTTTTCCCAAATTATTTTCCACCTCAGTTTAGATTCTGTGACCTGATTTTTTTTTTTTTTTACTGTTTTAAAGAAAATTAACTGGCCAATTTTATAAGCAAATAGAGAAAATTAATAAAAACATTAACATTAAACATCCATCCATCTGTTTATCTATCCATCATCCATCTGTATCTATCCATCATCCATCAATCATCATTTAACCATCCAACCAACTATCCATCCATCCATCTATTCATCCATCCATCCATCCATCCATCCATCCATCCATCCATCCATCATTTAACTATCATCCATCCAGCCGTCCTTTAACCATCCAACCAACCAACTATTCATTCATTCAACCATCCAACCAACTATCCATCCATCATTTATTTATCCATCCATCCATCCTTTAACCATCCATCCAACCAACCAACTATTCATTCATTCATCCATTCATTCATTTAATCATCCAACCAACCAATTATCCATCCGTCCGTCCATCTTGTCCATAAATTCTGTATTTTTCAGTAGAACAGGTTTGGACCTGAACACCAGTTATGAATCCATTAAAGACAAATTTCTGGTCATAATTCTGGAGTTTGTAGAGGAACATAATGAAAGATGAAACATTTATTTTTATTAAATTTTAATGCATAAAAATCATTTGTCAGACGTAAAACGTGGAAACAGGAAAAATCTCTTCACTACAAAATGCGTAGAAACAAATCAGAGAAATTAAAAGTGCTATAGGTGAAGCTTATATTCAACAAAACTTAACTAAAAGATGTTGACTACCAAATACGTCCATTTTGAAAAATAACTTCAGTAACATTCATGCAGCTATAACACACAACGTCCTGTTTACGTTGCATGCTGCAGTTTATTTCAGACATTTTCTACCCTAATATTCAGGATGCTATGATTGTCGTTTAGCTAAACTGAGAAGAAACAACAGAAACTGAAATCATTTTATATGAGCTGGATCAGCAGCTACTCCAGTTTCTTCAGGGCTTCGCACAACTTCCCCAGCTCACCTGAAGAAAATCAAACATCAAACCAGAGAGTTTAATTAGTAAAAAGATGAACAGAAGTGTTGGTGATACTTTATCTGAAGGAGCCTGAATGTTAAACGGTAAATAATGACACTTTTACTGGACTTTTAATGCAAGTTTGCTTTAAAAGTGTCGATATTTATCAAATAACCACATAAACTTTCATGTTTATGACAGCATCCTGTCAAATAAAGTGCTACCAAAGTGTTTTTGTTGTTTTTTCAAAGATTTTATAAGCAGTGAGATAAAAATAAACCTCTTCAGTCGCCTCATTAATATGCGTCTGACGCAGCCCATCAAAGCTAAATTTAGGATTCAATTAAGGAGCGGCTGTTATGTTGATAATGTTTATTTATGTTCAGTCTTTTGAAAAAGGCTGGAAGTAAATCTAAAATACAGAATGATGATGATAATAATAATGTTTGTACCTTTTCTTTATCTTTAGTGTTAAGAACATGAAGTTAGGAGAAAATATTTAAATAAATTTGATCAACTAAACCAAACTTAACATATTTATGCTTGTCCAGATTTTATTCTCTAAACTGTTCTTCCTTCCTTCCCTCATCCCTCGTTTCTTCATTTGTTCCATCTTTTGTCATTCCTTTTCCTTCCTTGCTTTCTATTTTGTTGCCTCCATCTCATTGCTTGTTTTCTGTTTTTCCTTCCTTTTTTCTTCCTTCCTTCCCTCATCCCTCGTTTCTTCATTTGTTCCATCTTTTGTCATTCCTTTTCCTTCCTTGCTTTCTATTTTGTTGCCTCCATCTCATTGCTTGTTTTCTGTTTTTCCTTCCT